TGTAAGTGAACGGGAGGGGGGAGGAGGCAGGCAGTACAAGGGTTTATCACTTTAGACATCCTCAGGAGTTAAACACAGTAGGCTCGGCAAGCATTCAGGGACTGCACTCAGTAGGCCCTGCATTTGTTCAGGGGTTGCACAAAGTAGATTTTTGCATTCCGAATGCACTCAGGAGCGGCACACAGTAAATTATGCACACAGTAGGTTTTGCACTTTAGTTGCCTAGGGGCCTGCACACAGAAGGTTGTGCATTACACTCAGAGGCTGCACACAGGTTCTGCACAAACTCAGAGACTCCACACAGTAGGCTCTCCAGGACGGCCCCGGGGCAAGCCAAGCCGCTGGGGCTGCGGCACACGGCCCAAGGCTGTTCCCTGCGCTGGCTCCCTGCCCGGCCGTGAGCGCCAGGCGGCCCAGGGAAGGCGCCGCTCACAAAGGGAGGGTCTGTGCGGACGCCCCGCCCTCCCGCCGCCGGGACGGACTCCCCACCCCCGCGGGCCGCAGACACCCGGCCTGGCGGGCACCAGAGCGAGGCTGGCACCGGCGCGCTCTGGAGGAGGTCGGCGGCGTGCACCTAGGGCGCACTCGAGACGGGCTCTGGAGAGGGTCGGGGTGACCCCAGGTTGGGGAGCTAAGCGCCTGCACAGTCGCCCACAGTAGCACTGTGACTCCAGCAACCGCCTCTGTCTCCAATTATCCAATTTAAGGACCAGGGAACCCGGGACTCCTGCCTGCTGGAGAGGGAGGGAGGGACGTCTAGGGTCTGGGTCAGAGACCCACTCCACCCCCAGAATGTCTGGTGAGAGGGTGGGGTGGCTACAAGCTGTAATGAGCGTTCTGGAAGCAACTCGGTTTTTTGCTGAGTTCTCTGAAACCCACGGAGTTCACCTTAACACGTGGGAGGGCCCTTGCACTTTCCCTTTTATGGGTGGGGAAACTGAGTCACAGCTGGCTGGGCTCTCCTGGCTCTAGTAACCCATCAGTGTGCGGCAAGAGTCAACTCTCCTTCTCCTTTAGGGGTGCTGAGCTCTGCCGTCTTGGAGCCAGCAGAGAATGGCGCGCCTGCTGTGTACACGAATTCATAAACGTCACTCCCACGCACTCTACGCCGGGTGATCTCAAATTTGGCCTCTTAGGTGCATGCCTGCGTGAGTGCGTGCTCGGGCCTGGAGCGCGCTCCACATGAGCACGAAGGATCTTGGTTTCTGCCCCCGGAAGCTGCTGTCTCCACCCACTCCCAGGGTCCTGGGAACCGTAGAGTCGGAGAGGGGGTGGGGTGGGAACAGTGTAGGAAAGGAATAGGGACCGCAGAGAGAGGAAACCTCCCTGTGGGTCCTGCAGATGTGGATTGGTGGGGGAGACCAAGCCTTTTCGGTCCCCGGTGGAGGAGCCATTTCCAGGTTGTAGGCCGTGGGTTTGGGGGAGAGATTGCTTTGGGTCTTTGGAAGGAATTCTGGGTTGTCAGGGTCTCTGGGGAGACTGATACGGCTTTGGGCTGGAAGGTGTTTCCCAGTTTGAGGAACCCCAGTTGGCCCAAATCTATCTCTCTGAGCTCTTCTGCTTCCTTCTTCAGGGCTGGGTAACTCCTAGGGACCGGATGAACAATGAGGCCCCTCCAGTGGTGGGGTGCTAGGAGAGAATGACCCCCTCTGTGGACCGGGTGGAGCCCAGGATGACGGTTCCAGAGCTGAGGGGCGGGAAGAAAGGTCAGAACTGTCTGGGACGCAGTGACACACAGCCCTGGGATCTCAGGATCTGCAGGGACTTTCAGGCCTGTCTGACTTGAGAGTGAGACAGTCATTAAAAACTGACCGTCAGCGTGGGAGACGGGGTTTGGAGGGTGAAGGGGCTTGTGGCCAAGCTTGAGCACCTGAGTTCAATCCCAGGACCCACAGCGAACCAACTCCCCAAAGTTGTCTTCTGACCTCCACATGCAAAAATAAATAGAATATATTTTTTAAGGAAAAATAAAAAGCTAGTTTATGACGGCACAAGTGTGCCTTGCCAGCATTGGGGATCTCTGTGAGTTGGGGGCCAGCCTGATCTACACAGCAGGTTCCAGGTCGGCCAGGGCTACACAGAGAAACCCTGTCTCAAACACAAAATGAGGGGCTGGAGAGAAGGCTCCACGTTAAAATCAGTTCCCGGCACCCACAAGGCAGCTCACAACCAGAGCACCGGGAACACGAGTGGTGGGCCTGAGGATCAGATAGATTCTCGACAGGTTTAATTGGTCCTGAGACTCCCATCGGAAGCTCTGGGCCGAGGCCCGCCCCCTTTCTAGCCACGCCCCCGCAGCCCTTTTGAGCTGAAAAAGGCATATTGAACCGAACCGTGATGCTTCTTGCCTCTTTGCTAACTGCAGGTTCCCAGAAGGGCAGGAAAGGGCAGTCAGAGTTACATAAAACAAACGCAGGTGACACAAAGAATCAAGTCACATCAAAGAAGAGTTTGACGCAAAGGTGACTTTCTGTGTTCCAGCCTCGGGACAGACTGTTTTGTCCCTCGGGGATTCATGTTAGCCTGCAGCTTGTTGTGTCCTTGCCAAGTCTTGTGACACCACTCAGCTTAGGGAAACCCTGTACTGTGGAAGTGACCAGTCACAGGACCTTGGGCAGGTGGCTCCACCTTCTTGAATCGCTTCTCTGTGAAATAGGGACACTAATCATGATGCCCATCTCCTGGAGACGTCCTGAGCTGTCGCCTAATTAAAATTGAATAGGCTAGTTGGGCTGTGGGTGTGGTCAGGGTGGAGCCCCGCCTAGAATCTCCCAGTGAGGGGCTGGGGGCGTGGGCGGGGTGGAGCCCTGACAAGAAGGTTCCAACGGTCTGGGGGCGTGGCCAGTGAGTGGGCCCCCCCTCCACCCCTACCGCCTGGACGCCCCCAGTGAGGGTCAGGGTGGAGCCCAGGGAGCAGATCATTTTCAGACCCTGAATTCCTCTCCCTTCCATCCCTAGCACCAACCTCACCTCGGACCCTTCACCATGCAAGAACAAAATCAAATATAAAAGCAGCTGTGTCGTATTCTTTCACCCAGCATCGCTGTGTATTCGATCCGCCCAGCACCTGCCCCAGCCTGCTCCTTCAGTACAGCTGAACGGGCGCACAGAGCCCTCATCACCTGTGCCTGGAAAGAGGGGCTTCAGGGAAAGAGCTAGAACCTCGTGTGCTACTGAGGTGTCACCAGGGGTCTGTGAGTTTCAAGGGATGTCGGCCAGGGTGAACACACACCTGTTTCTACAAGCCCTTTACCTGCACGTCACTCAGGAGAGCCAGCTCAGAGAGATGGAGCAACTCGGCCAAGAGGAACAGGAAGTGCCCAGGTGCAGGGGTTTGTGTTCCTATAACCGAGTCCGGGGACTGCGTGTGCAAGCGTGCGTGTGCGTGTGTGCCACGCCCATCTGCCTGCAGCCTGCATTGCCAAGTTTTTCCTGCTTAACGTCCAAGGAACACACCCACGTTCCCTGGCACACGATGGTATCCCTAAGGGGACCAGCAGCCCAGAGCAGGACCAAAGCTCGGTGACCTGGGACAGCTTCTCTCTGTTGACTGAGGATGGCTCAGTCTCCCCTCAGCTGCCTAAAGTTTTCCTCTCATCCACCCATAATTCCAGACTCCAAGCCAGGTTGTGGCTTCTCCTCTTTTTCTGGGAGCCAATGAGGCCGGGGCAGTTTCGAGCGTGGAATGAAGACCCTGGGCTGGTATGGCAGAATCAGGGGGCCAGGTATTCAAAGTGATTCCACACCAGGAAGACTTCAGAACCTTCAGGTCCTGGCTTGAGAGCGCAGTAACTCCTCCCTCAACTCACTCCTGCTGGTCCGGGGCCTGTCAGTCTTATGGACACCTGGGTAGGGAACCCAAGAAGCCACCAGGTCAGGGAAGGGACAGCAGGTTCCAGGTCCAAAGAGCAGAGCAACACAGACTTGCTAGGCAAGACTGTGTTCCCCCCTCCCCCAATATTCCCAGGCCAGGGAAGTCTCACCCTGTGACCCTCCTGGCTCTCTGTCCCTCAGGTGCCATCTCAGGGCCCCATCTCCCTCCTACCCCTCCAATCTGTTTACTTCTCCACCCAAATGCTTCTGGGTGCCCCTGCCATGGTGACCTTCCTCCCCCGGGTGTAATTCAAAGACTGTTGAATCTACACCCTAACTCCTAATCCTCCCCAACTCACTGCATCTCCCCAAACCCGTGACCACCCTGGGCCCCTCGCGCCAGGGCTCTTGACCCAACACTTCAGCTCGTGACCTCTCATCCCGGACACTCTGCTCCCAGGTAGCCTTCCCCTCCCCCACCCCCGGGGGACTCCCCTCCTGGTGCTCCCCCTTCTGCGCGTGACCCCCAGGGCGCCCCTGGGGATTTCCACCACCCACCAGGTGCTCGGTGGAAAGGTCGCGGCTGCTGGGAACGGGTAAACTGAGGCCGACAGGGTAAAAGAGCCCTGGGAGGAGCCGTACGGTTTCGGGGTTTCGGTTTGGAGTGAGATGCAGAGCGTGCCAAGGCTTCCAGGGTGTTTTCCTACTGTTGATTTTAGTTCAGGGGGGAATGAAAAAAATATTCTTTTCCTTTTGTGCATCCATAGGGCCCATCCCAGGAAGAAGAGCTTTGGTGCGTCGCAGGGGAGGTCGGGAATCCCCCGCCCCCACAAGGACCCTTTGTGTGTGGCCTCAGGTGCCCTGGCAATCTCCCTGGTCTCCGGGCTGTGGCCGACGGCTGGGAGGGGGTACTGCAGCCACTTCCCGGTGAGTCGAGACCCAGGGCCTCGGCTCCAGCTGCGGCTCCAGCACAGCGGGTAACAGGCGGGCTGGGCCGCCAGGTTTCGTAATAAACCTGCCTCTTAATTGCTGTGATGCAGCAGGACTTGGGTGGTGGCGCCTGCAGCAGAGCAGAGGTGTCTAGAGCTGCGGAGCTCAGAGCTCCTGACAAGGCTGGGTGGCCATAGGGCGGCATAGGGGGGCACCTGGAGGGACCGGTGGAAGGAGGGAAGCACAACAAGAACCCGGAGGCTTAACAAGTTTATTTGACAGTCTCTGTACTAGAAACTTTAAAAAAGAATAAGCAAGCAAGCGACCTGTCTTGCTCAGCACAATAACAAAATAGATTTGTATCAGAGTAGCAGAGTCCCGGGCTCGTCCGGGCTCCCGCGGCGACGGTCGCCGCTCTCCGTTGTGCACAGTTCACTGTCCTGCAGGGTCGGACACCTCGCCGACCCTATGGTGTCGAATCCAGACCCTCCGCGCTCCTGGCTGAGGCTGCGTGCAGAGGCTGGGCTGCAAGATTCCCAGGCCTGGACTCCAAGGTTCCATCTCTTCCGGCCCGGGCTCCCCTCCTTCCTGTCTCGGCGACCACCTGTGGTGCTGCTCCGGGTTCCACCGCCCCTGGGCGGGCAGGCGCACACTCCCCCTCTCCTCTCGGTGTCAGTGACTCCGCCCCTCCCGGAAGGTCTCACGGGTAGGGAGGCTTTTGAGGGATTGTTCTTGGGGATGAGGGGAAGTCAAATATGTATTTTATTTAACTTTTTTTAGGGGACAGCAACTCAACAGCTGCTTTAGATGTTTGGAGAGGGCCTCAGCGTTCTTCTAAAGAGATATAGGGGACCCATTGGTTATTTCCCCTGCTCTCTTCACAATAACTGGCCACCTCCACCAAGCCTTGGCTTTTCCAGGTATCTGTGTGACAGTTCTGTGAAGGGGGAACAAAAGGGAAGGGTTTAGTGGGAGCTCTAGGAGTTTGGTAGGGAGCCTCCCTCCAGCGCCCTGGGGCCCCTTTGGGGAACAAACAGGCTGGCTCAAAATAGCTGCCAGGGTGACGAGGCAGCCCACGGGACATGCCGAGCATGGCTGGGCAGTGAGCTGGTGACCGACTAGCCAGCCCGGTTATGTTGACAAACACGGTACCTAGGTGCCCGGGGCGAGCGGGGTCGGGCAATGAGACACACGCATGGCTTACCGTGACCAGAAGACAGTGCAGGTCTCGGGCCTCAGTGGTGCCCAGTGTCTCTGCCGGTTCCCCCAGGAGCTGCGCCAGCCTCTGCATGCCGGATACCCTGACGATGTCAATGTCATTGTCACAGCAGAACGACTGGATCAGGGTGAAGTGGATCTGCAAGGCGATGTCATCCTCCTCCTCTTCATCTATGGCGAGGAGGCACAAGACCACGCTGTCAGGGTCCCTGCAGGAGAGAGGGGGTGTCAGGGGGAGGCTAGACACGGAGGGGATGGCACCGTGCACGAGCTCGGGGACCACAGGCGGGAGAGAAGTGACAAGACCACGGTGCACCAGGAGTGTGCAAGAACAAGTCCCCGTCCCCCCCCCCCCAGCTGCACGGTTGCCGGGGAGGCCGACTATGCAAATGCTGATGGAAGTGGGGGAGGGGGCGCAGGGTTCAAAGTTAATGGGGTTGCCTTGTCAAAACAAAAGCCACAAAACCTCAAACTTGCAATGTCTGGGTTCTGCAGCGAGTCCCCCCCCAATAAAAAATCTCAGAGAAATGTCACCCTCCACTCCCCAATACCGAGAGCACTGGGAAAGTCCCCTAAGACCCGTGCCCTACAGGGGTGTTGGGAGCGCGCGTGCATCAGAGGGGCGCCCCCACCCACGCGCGAACAAGGGGGGTGCTGACTCACACATTCATCAGTTTGGCCGCCTCGTACACCCCCACGGTGAGGCGATCCTGACGCTGCGCGGCCACCAGCAGCTGCTCCACCGCGGCGGTCACCGCCTGCATCCTAAGAGGTCAAGGGAGAGGAGGCTATTAGCCGATGACAGCCGGCCGACTTCAGGCGGCGGGTGGTGAGACCTCGGGCCCCGTACTCACTTCTGAGCCGCGTTGTTGCTCGCCACCAGCTCTTCCAGCGTCATGGTGCAGTCACACTCCACAGCGGACCCTCACGGAAGATCCCCAAGGGCAAAAATATGCGTCCAGATCCGAGTCAAGAGGAAAAATACCTTCCCGGGCGATCAGAAACGTCCAAGGTCTTCCAAAGGCAGTGGGACTTCCCTTCCCAAGAAAAAGGCGAGAAGAAAAAAAAGATTGCAAAAATCCTCACGAAAATTAATCCAAAAGTCCCGAGGGTGGGAACAGGTCCAAGGCTGCCGAGGAGTAAAAGCGCGGCCGCCGGGAGCCAAGTATATAGACTCTCCGAGTGGGCGTGGCCTCGACGGACCTCTACTGCTCTCCCATTGGTGGATACACAAAGAGACAAGTAGCTTGCGCTGCGATTGGCTGGTAGTGTGGAAAGGGCGGAGCTCAAGCGCCGGCTGCCCCACGTGGGGACTTGGGCTGGGAGGAGCGCGAACCCGGGAAGCCGCGAGTGCCAGAAAAGCAAGCAAGAACCCCCCCCCCCCCCACACACACACACAGACCCAAAAAACCAGAAGTTTCTCTCCTGATTTCCCGGCAGCCGCGCTACGCAGGCCGCGCGCGGGGTTTCCAGCGCGCGAGGCTGGCCTGGACTTTCGGGGAGGGCTGTCTGGATTCCCCTCCCAGTCCCCGGGAGAGTCCCCAGCCTTTCCCAGGCTCAGCCCGGGGAAAGGCTGTGCAGGCGCGCGGGACCTCGGTCTGCAGCCCTAATCTTCCCAGGATGGCGACTTCTTGTGGGTGGGGAGGTCCTGCCCATCTTCGGAGACCCCAGACCTTGAGTAACCGAACTTCTCGCGTGAATGCAATCCCGGCCTTGGAGGGTTGTACAGTGTTCTAAATCAGTAAGCGCTTAGTAACTTCGAGGACGCTGGGATTCTCACCGCAAAGTGTGAAATACCAAGGCACTCACCACCGCCACTGCGACGGTGCTTCGAGAACGCACTGCCCGCTCCAGGGGGGTGGGGGTGGGGGTCTCACAGAAAGCTACAGCTACCCGGCCGGTCTTCGTAGATGGCTTTGGGGTCTCCCCGGAGGCCACTGCTGCAGAGCACCAAGGGATTGCTGGGGGGAGATCAGGAACCCTTTCTACCTCCCGGCACCCAGAGAGTTTCAGGGTGGGGTGCGCGTGGGAGGCGCAGGTGAAGAGAGCTGCAGGCTCTGCGCTGCGGCCCCTCCTCCTGCCTGACGGTCTAGCCTTGGACCGCTTCCCCACACCTGACCCTTGTGGTGGGACCGACGCAAAGCGAAAGTCAGCTGCCCCCGGGACAAGGTGCCTGGATGGCAGCCACTCTTTTGTCACTAGCATTTTTGCAGTGCGCAACATGAGCCGTAGACCCTTTCCGCCACGCATTTATCTCGTCCACCATTTAGCTAGCAAAGGGACTAATAATCTGCATTACACAAAAGGAAAACTGAGGCTTCCGAGGTCGTTAGTGGCTGTACTGGGGGCAGAGGGAAACAGCAAGGACACGAGGAGGGCGCGCGGGCAGACCCCGCGTGGGGCTCTCCCACGGTCCACGGGGGCTCCTGGTGACTCACACTGCGTCCCCCTCCTCCGCCAGCCTGGGTAGCCTGGCCCCGGCAGCGCAGCACGGTTCCCCCGGATTCCCAGCCCCCGGGTCCAGTGACGCATCACGCCTCCTCCGCGCCGCCCACCGAGAGCGCGAAATGTCCCTGGCGTGAGAGGCGCGCCGGCGACACCTGGCGGCCTCAAGAGGTCTCTGCGCGCGCAGCTTCCGGAAAGGGAGGGGAAGAGAACACTTGCAATAGGTTTTTGGGTTTTGTTTTGTTTTGTATTTTCCCGATGCTGGGAATGAATCCAGGGTTTCGTGATGCCAGGCATGTGCTCACCACCGATATCTGTATATACTAGATCCCAACCCGACATATGCTATACATACAATATTTTAAATATCAACCATGAAGGGACGGGAAGATGGCAGTAGGGAAAGGCGCTCCTTGGCAGGCATGACTTTGATCCGCGGAACCCACAGGGTAGAAGAAGAGAACATCTGACCCCCATAAGTGCTCCAAGGCGTACTAGTGCCCGCACACACAAATGACTTTATTAGATGCGTGTTTGAATTGGCCTCCCTGCTGTGGCTGTGGTTCCGTGGGTAGAGCACTCCCGCATGTCCAAGGCCCTGGCTCCCTTCCTCTGTACCACATGATATGGTGGTACACACTTGTCATCCTGGGGTTGATAATACTGGGGACGCAGAGGCAGAAGGATCAGTCAGCAGTTCAGAATCACCCAGGGCTATGCAGTAAGTATGAGGCTAGCCTGGGTTTCATGAGTCTCAAAGGGGGCGGGGCTGGAGAGGCAGTAGCTAAGAGCACTGGCTGCTCTTCCGGAGGACCTGGGTATTTATTTATTTATTTATTTAGTATACAATGTTCTGTCTGTGTATGTCTGCAGGCCAGAAGAGGGCACCAGACCTCATTACAGATGGTTGTGAGCCACCATGTGGTTGCTGGGAATTGAATTCAGGACCTTTGGAAGAGCAGGCAATGCTCTTAACCACTGAGCCATCTCTCCTCTCCAGCCCGAAAAGTTTGTTCTTTTTTTTTTTTCTTGGTTTTTCGAGACAGGGTTTCTCTGTGGCTTTGGAGCCTGTCCTGGAACTTGCTCTTGTAGACCAGACTGGTCTCGAACTCACAGAGATCCACCTGCCTCTGCCTCCCAAGTGCTGGGATTAAAGGCGTGTGCCACTACCACCCGGCTAGGACTTGGGTTTAGTTTCCAGCACCCACACTGTGACTCCAGTCCCAGGGAATTTGACGCCCTCTCCTGGCCTCTAAAGGCTCCAGGCAAGCACCAGGTGCACAGGCGGTGCAAAACCAATAAATGTACGATTTTTTAAATTAAAAAACCAAAAAAAAAAGAAAAGAAAAGTCAAAGTAGGGGTAGGGGACATGTGTTTAATCCCAGCAGTCATAAGGCAGAGACAGGCTAGACAGGAGGCCAGCCTAGTCTACAGAGCGAGTTCCAGACAGCCAGGGCTACACAGAGAAACCCTGTCTTGAAAAACAAAACAAACAAAAAGCCCAGGAACATGCCTTGAATCGGAGCTCGGCCACACCAAGGCCTAGCATTTGGGTTCTAGACAGAAAAGGATTGGGAGGGGCGACCCGAGTCTGTGCAGGACTAAGTAGAGGCCTGTGGGATGAGCAGGGCTCTCAAAGATCAGGACCAGCACGGGGGCAGTGGAAACTGCGGGCAAAGGCCAGGCTCCCGGGAGGGGCTGTTGTGGCTGCTGTCAGGAGGCACCAGGAAGGGCCTGGGTTCCTAGAAACATCATGGTGCTTCCCGGCTTTCCCGTCTCCTTCCTTCCTTTCTTTTCCTTTTCTTTCTGTTTCTTTTTGTTTGTTTGTTTGTTTGTTTTGAGACAGGACTCATGTAGCCCAGGCTGGCCTGAGCTCATTATGTAGTCCAGGGTGGCCATGGGCTCCTGACATTCCTGTCAACATGAGAGACCTGGGCCATCACAGCTGGCTTATGCCATGCTCCAGCACCTTGGGGACACTAGGCCAGCGTTCTACCAACTGAGGCCCAGTCAGGGTCCTCCACCTTTTTTTATCTTGTAAGGTGACAACCAGTGTTAATGTCAACCAGCGAACTCTAGAATCACCTGGCATACAGTGTCACGGCCACCCTCGACCCGCAAGGAATGATGCGACCACGGGAGCTCTTCTCACTGCAGTTTATTCCAGGACTTTACTCTCCTCCCCTCTCTCTTCTCTCTTCTCTCTCTCTCTCTCTCTCTCTCTCTCTCTCTCTCTCTCTCTCTCTCCTCTCTCCTCTCCCTGGGCAAACCTCTCCCAGCCCTTAAGTAGCCCGAACTGCCAGGTGGGCATTGCCCATAGGTTCACACATATGCAGGCAGCTGATAATCATTGCGTGATCATAGCATAGGTCAGGCCTTAGCCATCTCAGGAGTTGATTATACATCTCCATCATGTGTGACACCACGCAGCTCGCTACAATACAGGGCTGTGGGGTTGCCTGTGGGAGACCCTCTTGTTTGCGTTAATTGATGTGGGGAGATGCCTCTTAATGTGGGGCACGGTCCCCCAGCTGGGACCCTGGACTACAGGCCTACAGAAAGCAGGCAGGGCCACCTGGACTCTCCCACCAGGACCGGCCGTCTCTGGGCCTGTGAGCTCCCTTATTGCATGCCCAGGAGAGGACAAGACAGTGTGTGCACCAAAGAACAACCTCGCGTGCTCTCCTTCCACATTCTGCTGGCGACATTGCCTCACAGATCCCCCGGCTGGCCAGTAAGAGACAAGATCCCTGTTTCTGCCTCCCTTCTCCAGGGCCTGGGCTGACAGGCTGGGGAGGACCGGCCCCCACATCAGGATGCTCAAAACTGCCTGTCACTCCAGCTCCTCTGGGCTTTGTGGGCAGTGCACTCACACACACATATACACACACACACAATTAAGATGTCTTTTCAGACAGGTTGTGGTGGCACAAGCCTTTAATCCCAGCCCTGCAGAGGCAGGGAGATCTCTGTGAGTTCAAGGTCAGCCTGGTCTACAGAGGGCAACATAAAGAAATTCTGTCTTAAAAAAATTTTTTTTAATTATGGGTAAGGAGAGTCAATTGCTGAGTTCAATCCCAGGAACCCATATCGTCAAATAAAAGAATCCTAAAAACCAGAAATCAGAAATAAAAGCATGGTCTTAATTCCGGGCATGAAGTGGGCAAATTCCTTCTCTAAAAGGTCATATGCAAAAAAAAAAAAAAAAAAAAAAAAAAAAAAGGCCATGTTTATGCAAAGGTCCTGCCACAAGGTGGGGAGTTATCAGCTGACCTTTGATACTGCTGTGGGTGATGAGGTCACGGCTTTGTCAAACGGTGCAGTCATGGTGGGCTCCCTTAAGGAGGTAGCATCTAAATTGAGCTTGGAAAATGAAAGCGCCAAGAAGACAGAGCAACCTGTGCAAAGGTCCTGTGCAGGCCAGAGTTTGGCGTGTTGGGAGCACATCCAGGAGGTCTATGTGGTTAGAGCCGAGGGAGGAGGGAGGCAGAAGGAGGGGTAGCAGAAGGGAGGCAGAGGCCATTCTGGGATCAGGGACTTGAACTCTGAACCAGAGTAAGGTGGCAGCCCATGGGCAGGGGCAGTCAGAGCAGAAGGGGAGACAGGGAGCCCGGTCTGCCTAGTGGCTCTGGATGACCCCGCCCCCACAGGAGGCCAGGAATTGAGAGCGAGGCTCTGACATCACGTTTT